CACAACGTAATCTTTTTTTTGCCACATGAAAGAAAGCTCTTGTACCTATAAATATAGATTTGATTATACTAGATTTATAAATTTCTACTTGATTAATTATACTCTTATTTATACTTTCAAAAAAGTTAAGACTACAAGAAATTCAATCTATTGAAGGATTATACTTTTTTAACTAGAATAAACCTAAAATGACTAGATTAGAAGGAGATCTAATGATAATAAATACTACAAAGCTATATTACCATTAATTATTATTTTTAAAATAAATATTTTATAAATAATATCTTTAGAAGATAAAAAATGACCATCTATGATTTTTAAATGAATAAGTTTTGTTTTCTTTATTAAAAGTATGTTATGTCTTTTGACAAACTCTTCATGTAAAAAACAAATTGATGCTGCTAAATGTAGCAAGGAAAAGGCTTTGTAATATTTAGATCATAAATTAATATCTATTCTAGAACAAAGAAAGGATTTTGATGAAAGAATAGGACCTTTATTAGGCGTTGTATAACGTTCAAGCCACACAATCTCAATTATAGTTAGACAAATCTGTTTTCTAATAGACTATCTTCTTTAATAATCATACTTCTTATTTTATGATTGTATCATTTTTTTAGATAATATTAAGTAGAATTTTTTGGTTCTCCACAATATAAGCACAATCTTTCTCAAGTCTTTTTTGCTTAACAAGAGGTTTGAAACATATTGTATTAATTTGTAAATCTTTTATTTCTAAAGGTATGTATTGAGAAGAGAATGGTATTACTATTGAATTATAATATTATTGAGGCATATTTATGCAATTTTTAGACCAAAATTTAAAAATTCAATTATCATACTTTATAGCAAAATCAATTGTTTAACTCAATGTTTGAAGATGATGTAAATTGAACATCAATTTCTTCACTTCATATTGTAATCCATAAAGAAATTGGCTAATGAGTGGAGCATCATTTCAGATGATATTAATTACAAGTTGTGTAAGTTATAAAGCATATATTATTACAAATTGATTTTTTTGTCACAAAATATAGATCTTTTTTGTTGCAAATAAAAATTACATTATATTCTCCATACAAAGATCAAAACTCACCAAAAAAGCTTCCAAATTATCTAATATTGAATCATATCATTGAAGAAAGGATGAAAATCATAATAATACAAAATCAAAAAGTAATGTTCCAATAAACTTGACTTGTGATCTTGAAGTTTGATAGCTTTGGAATTGAAGTTCAATTGCTAGTTATACTTGATTGATGAATCCTCAAAATTTTGATCTTATACCATCAAACTTTTCAAATAAGGTAATTTTTGGTTCTTTAGCTATTGAATGGTGTTCCATCATATAAAAAAGAATATAATTTAGTGCAGATGTTGAAGCAGCTCTAATCATCTCTATATCTCTACTTTTTATTATTTTAATTCCTTGTTATGGTGGTAAATTGAGTTGATACATTACAAGCATCAACTTCTTCAGTTGTTCTTATAATTGTTCCATTGCATCCTTTGTTTTGAAAAGCTTTGCTATAATAATACTTACAAAAAAAGAGATGTCTAATATTGCTCAAGACAAGTAAAAGAAAAAACTTACAAATGAAGAAAATACTAAAAATAATTTAAATTTAGAAGAAAGTAATCCACAACTTCTAATGTGCTTATGTCTTATTAAAAAAAAGAGATAATCCACTTTTGATCAAGAAAAGATGAAGCTTTGATATTATAAGTATATTATTGTTAATCTTTTAAGGACAAAAACTTAATGAAAGCAAATAAACAAATAAGACTTTTTCAAAGAAGTAGAACAAAATAGATATAAGAAAGTATGTATATTAAAATATATAAATAAATAAATAAATAAATAAATAAATAAAATTAGAATCGCTATTGTCAAAAGATAAAAAAAATTAGAGACTTTTTGAAACTAAATTAGAAGTAAGAAAGGTATTGAGAAGAGGGAAGAAGGCTTTAATCTTGTTTCTATATACTATCTATCTAAGAGCTACATGGTAATGTTTTATAAGACCTCCAAAATATTATTATATTACGTAGCATTTGGCTTGAGAATGCACTGGACACGTGGCTGTGGAAGATAAAAGAAAAATTACAACAAGTCCTAAAAACTCTAATAGATTATCAAATAAATTATAATTTAAGATTAGCAAATATAATCAAAGATTGATCAAATTCAATCAAAATTTCAAAAGAATTATATAAGAAATACAAAATATTTCTAAAAATCCATTAAAGAATCATAAAAAATAATATAAAAATTCAGAAAAATATTAAAATAAAAACCTCAATAAAATATTAAAATAAAACCTTAATTAAATCGCAGTAAAAAATTAATCAAATTCTAGTCAAATTCGAATTAAATCCTAACCAAATTCTAAATAAATCCTAGTCAAATCCTAACCAAACCCTAATAAAATCCTAAACAAATCTTATCTAAATTATAATCAAATCCTAAATAAATCCTAATCAAATCCTAATCAAATCCTAAATAAATCCTTAAAAAATCCTAACCAAATTTTAAATAAATTCTAACCAAATCCTAAATAAATCCTAATCAAATCTTAAATAAATCCTAACCAAATCCTAAATAAATCCTTAATAAATCCTAACTAAATCCTAACCAAATCTCAACCAAATCCTTAATAAATCCTTACCAAATCCTAACCAAATCTCAACCAAATCCTTAATAAATCCTTACCAAATCCTAACCAAATTCCAACCAAATCCTTAATAAATCCTTACCAAATCCTAATAAAATCTTTAATAAACCTTAACCAAATCTTAACCAAACCCTAAACAAATCCTTATCGATCCCTAAACATATCCTAACGAAACCTTAAATAATTCCAAGTAATTCCTACAATAGATTTAAACTTCTATAACTAATGAATGAACCATTGATTTTAACTCAAAATTTGTAAACGTCTTAAGAATTAAGTTGAAAATAAGCAAAAAAAGTTTGAAGAAGATTGAACTTACCAAAAAAAAGATCAATCCTAATATTTCCTTGGATGTTGGCCAATCTCCTTTTTTAATCTAAATATTGAATTTTCAATGCCAATATCTCCTTATCAAATCATTCAATTGAGCTCAAACTTCTCACATATGTAGGAAAATAAGTGTACTACTTATATATATAATTTTCACTCCAATCCAATTAATAGAGTGCAAGAAATCTTAGAAATCCTCACTCAATCTAAAATTCTACTTTTTGAGACCTTGACCCATTTAAACCTCAATAATCCTCGATCTAACCCTTCGATCAAGCTCAAATTCATAGCATATATTGAATACATATAAATCCACAAACCTTCAAAATTCCACCTATGGATCTATTGTCAAACTTACGAAATTTTCCAAAAGGTATCTCCCTTTTTATTTACAAATTTAGAGTCATCTAAAACAATCCCTGACTTTGCAAAGCTCTTACAAAGTCAATACAAATCCAAATCACCCCAAGAAAATGCTTAAAAAAACCTCATCAAGTCAGTTCCTAGATCCTACTCTTTGATCTCAAAAAGAACCCCAGAATCGTTGTTAGAGCTCAGTTTTGTGCCTTAAGGTCTGATTTCGACCCTGGTTTATAACCAACACTAGTTTTTTTAGATAATTTTTGTTGGAAACTACTCTTAACTTCTTTCCAAAGATGCCTATATTGTTTATTTTTTTTAATCTACTTTATTTTGATCTATTTGTGGTTTTACAAAGTGAATAGAAGCCTATTTTGCAAAAAGGTAGTATTATCACCTTTAATTTTACTATCCCTTGACTATTATCTATTTTTCCAAAATAATTTGTTATAATATATTTGAAATAAGATCTTGAAAAATATGATATTTTCTTCACCTTTTTACTTATTAGCCATTTTATATCATGACTACGTGTTGACTTTGTACAACATGTATCTTAACTTGCAAGACAAGTTTTCTCTATAGAAAGCATATAATTGGCTTATTTTGTAAGCTACTAATATGTATAGCATGTGGTTAACTTGTTGACCAAGTTTCTAACCTATCAATCAACTACAATACATGTTAAGTCAAAATAACATCTATAAAGCTTCTAAGAAGCTTTTCTAAAAATATATTTTGAAATTAATCTACTTTTATATATTTTTACCTATTCATATTACTTAGGTAATAATTAAAATAAATGTATGTTTGTGACAATTAATTTATAATTTAATAATTTAAAATTTTAATTAAACTTTGCTATGAGATAAAAAAAAATTACTAATTATATTTTATTATTACCAAATTCTTATATTTCTTGTTAAATACTAATTTATAAATATTAAAATTAACAAAAAAAAATTATGCTAAAATTAATAGATTGTTAAAAAAAACTTGTGTTAAGAAAGTTTTTGTACTAACTGTTATTTTAATAAAAATTGTACATAAGTTAACTTCAATAAAAAATAAGAAGATAAGATATGTCAAAAAACAATAAAAACATTCTATTGCATAATTATTTTGAATGGAATTTTAGGTTTAATATAATAACACCATTAATATTGAAGAACGTATTTTGACATGACTTTGTTATAGACTTATACTACTTTTAATTAATTGTAGTAGCTAATTGTCTTTTTATTATTATATACATATTATCATATAATATTTTAATCTATCATTTGTATCTAATCAAATGCATTTAATAAAATTTGATTGAACTAGCAAGTTAGACAATTTTAACTTACCTTAGATTTCTTTTGTCAAAATATTGTGTTAATAAATCTATTTTATTTAGCTATAGATCCAAAATAATTAGATAATAATAAGTTTTAGGCCAATAGATTCAAGACAAGTTGAAGATATTCAATCCATCAAAGAATCAAATATTTTAGTTAGATTAAATTAAGATATGGGTTCTTTGTACTATTTATTAACTTTGGCATAAAAAATTATGCTGAATTAATATTTGTATCTTGGAGTTTCACTAGCGATGCAAAAATAGAAAGAGAAAAGGAAAATAGTGAAGCAATCTGAAACTCAAAAGAATAACGTCATCATAATGACGATTTTGATTTATAATATTTTCTAATCAGCTAAAGCTTCTACATCCCTGTTGCCAAGTACATAAGCTTAAGCACAATCCTTGTTCAGTGCAATGGATCTACAGAATTCAATCAATTTCCAAGTAAAAAGCCTGCCAAATCCAACTTCTAACTCCTGGGCATGCAACCCAACTAGAAATCTAGGGTACTAAACTAGAATTTGACACTTTAACAGTGTAATCACGAGAGACTAAGCTGTAGAAAGATCTCGGAAATCATGTCAGAGGTGGAGGCCACGAGGCTATGGAGGAAGGAAGTCTGGTTGATTAGCTAACTACTTGGCAGCCATAAAGTATAAACGAAGGTAATTAAGGTTGGCAGACAGTGCAATGCACACAAAGCCCAAGAAACTCAAGGCAGCGGAGGCTTTGTTCTTCCCACAGAACTCATTCGCACCTGAACAGTCCAACATGCCGGACTCTCCTTTGTCAACGGATGCTTGGAGGGCCACTCCGGCTCCGAATCCGGCCATTAGCATGTAGGTCAGCCCCTATTCCACCACAGGTAAGCCACAGACACTGATCAGTTACATCTACCTCAATTGGGTCCCATCTGATCTGCATCACATTATCATTTCTTGCTAAGCTTGCAAAGCACAACGACTTCTGGTGGAAAAGAGTTGCTGCAATGCGGCTCTCACCTGGTCGCAGATGTAGGTGATGGTGGAGGCTGGCTGTGTGGGTCCTGAAAGCACCATTTTACCCTGGACCAGGTTTATGATGGACAGGATCAACTGTACGACGCAGTAGACGAGCACAATGACATTGATCGCAAAAAGGTATTGCATGTTAGACGAGTTGAGTGTCCTCCAAACAACGAAGTAGCTCTTTCCCTGGTTAGACGCGATGACGCCTAACGAAACAACGTTGAACATTATGGAGAGACATCGCAGTACAATGGAGATGATCGACAAAGCTTTGGAGTTTCCCTCACTGCCACCCGCTCCAACGTTGTACATAGGTGGAGTAGTGCCGGCGGTTACATTGGCAGGTGCTTTGTCGTGAGGTTTGAAGTCACGACCGTTGTCAAACACATCACTTTGCCATGCTCCTTTGGGATCCTCCATCGCACACTCACAAGCACCGTGCAATTCCCTCCCTCAACCCAACCGACAACCTTCTTCAAACTTCCTGAACCCTGGTGGCCATCCACTTGAGTCACGATCAGTCACCAGATGCAGATACAAAACCTCAAAGCTCTGCGAAACTGTAACCGCTGTGTGTGCAACTCCTGAGACGCAGCCTTCGACACACTGTGTGAACTCTGGACTGTGCTTTAGTGGTGCATCAAACCTGAAAACATATGAGAAATCGTCCAGACCCCACTGCTATAATACTGTGGGATGGCAGTGGTATTGATTACAATTTCAGTCGGTATTTGTCGGCTTCTCAACTTTCATCTGGTAAAGAAAGTCAACCCTCATCGTTTCCATGAAACCCGAGATTGTTGAATATATTTCTCCATTTGAAGCTTCATGTGCACACAAAATTAGGAGATAAGCTAATTTGGGTGTAAATGCAAGTTTCGTAGTCGGCACCAACTGGCGCTCCGATGGGCACCGTAGCGTAGCAGTGAAGGTAGGATTCTTTGAGTTTTTTATTATTTTTTAACGTGATATATTTAGATGTATTCGCGAAAGCATGGTTGCACATGTCAGGGGACAGGGTGCATGACAGATTGTCCTTAATATTATTAACTCCCACATGGCAGCATTCACTTTGGAGACATTAGAGATTGCCAGAAGATTGTTTGCAACCTCTTCGACTAGTTGGATTTCATGTGTTTAGTATTCTTGTATTATTGATGTTTCACTTTGATATTGCTATTTGTATAAACTCGTTAAAGGAAGCGGCGACATCTATAATTAGAACATAATGTACGTAAGTGCTTTGCGTGGAAGAAGAGGGTGTGTTGCAAGGGTCAAAGTTTGATTCGGAAGCACCTTACAAGGTGGGAGGTGGGAGGAGGAATGTAGGATGTGGGAGGTGGGATGCTATTTGTTGAACACATTTTGTTGGTATAATATAGTAAATTCTGGTACTACTGTGGTATAATATATGGTGTAATTTTGCAATGTTTTTATAGAAAGTGCAACGTTTTCTGGGCAGCTTACACTAATACTTTATAGTAGTACTAATTTTACTATATAAAACTATTTAAAAAATAAATTGAGTACAAATGATAATCTTATTATATGTGACATTCTTTTATTAATAAAATCATATATTACTTCATTTGTATTTGGTTGCATTATCATTTTCATCTATTAAAAAAGAATGATAATTATTATTTATATTTATTTGCATCTAAAAAAGTAATTTTTTTACAAGTAATAATTACAGCCTCAAAAAATTATTATTATAATTACAACCGACATTTAAAGCAATTTCAAGCTTTAAATTTTTAATAAATGCTACTAGGCTTTGCTAATCTATTTTAAAATCCTTGAGTCTATAATTAATTTGTATAAGTTGTTTTGATATTTTTACATGTCTAAATTTTTAAAGATAAATTAGAGTGGAGTAAAGATGCAAAAGAAGCATTTCTAGATTTGGAAAAAACTTTTATTTCAACTTTTATTTTATATTACCTACATTTTTTAAGTTATTTATTTATTTATTTATTTATTTATAGAATCAATAAATAGAATGCTCTGTATTAACTACAATTCTATAAAAAATGGCCACAAATGGTAGATTTTATCCTATTTTCTTTTAATTAAAAAAAGTTTTATTAATTAAGATTAATCATAAAATTTACATTAACAAAAATAACAACAAAAATCAAGTATACACAAACATAATATATATATGGTTCACTTCTTCATGAGCTACATCCATGGAAAAAATCTCTAGCTCACAACTTTATTGATACCACACTTAAGGTACAATATGCTCTCTCCAAGCTCATTCATATACTATACGATTTGCTCTATACACTAATCTCCAACTCTAAGTCCATCCATGACTATATCATGTCAAGGCCTCTCAAACCAAAAACCCTAAATTTGATTCTATATTTTGGCATTTCTATTTCCATTGTATTATGTGAAGTCTTACGTGATAATACATGAAGAACTTGGTTGTAAAAGATAAATTAGAAATTACAACAACAAGGTCCTAATAATTCTAATATAATACTAAATAAACCCTAATTAAACTTTAAAATTTTTAATCAAACTTTAATCAATTTTTTAAAATTTTAAAAAAAATTCTAAATAATAATCATAAAGAAATAATAAATAAACCTTAAAGAAGTATTAAAATAACTATAATAAAATTATCATAAAATCCAAAGAAGTTATAAGAAATAATAAAAAGAACATAAAATTTTAAAAAAACTTAATTTTTTTTTTAATAAAATATCAAAACTAAAGATCTTAAATAAACCTTAAGTAAAATAAAAAAAAAAATCCTAATAAAATCCTAATAAAATCTTAGATAAATCCAACCAAATTATAATATAATTTCAATTTTTTAAAATAAAATTTTAAATAAATCTTAATAAAAATTTGATAAAATCCTAATAAAATTCTAAACTTTATACTAAATTGAAAATTTAATAATTAATAGTTTAACCATAGGTTTTGATTTAAAATTTTTATACCCCTTAATTACTTAGTTGAAACAAGCACAAGTAATTTGAAGAAGGTCAAATTGACCCAATAAAAAATAAATCCCATAATCTACTTGGGTGTCAATTGGTTTCATTCTCCAATCTTTAAGTCAATTTCTTAGCATCAATATCTCTTTAATATACTATTTAATAGCTTCCAAATTTTGCTTAATTCTTAAAAATTAAATATGCTATTAGTATGCAAGATTTTATTTCAATCTAATTGAAAAAAATTTGTAAATCTTAGAAGCTTTTACTAGTCTATTAAACTCCAATTTCGAAGATTCCAATATTGTGAAATTTAACAACCTTCAAAAGAATCATTTGATCAAGTTCAAATTTATTCTACAAATATAATATGACTTTGGTTATTTAATAATTTTTTTTACATATAGATCATATATTGATCTTGCAAAATTCTTCAAAATATAAATCCTTTATACTTCTCAAAAATTCAATATCACTTCAAAAAAACTCTAACTTTTTAAAGCTTTTACAAAGTCATTACAAACTAAAATCACTCATAATAATTTTTTTAAGAATTTCTTTGTAGTCTACTCTTAAGTATCACTCTTTGAACAACTAAAGAATCCTTGAATTTCCATAGGTACCCAATTTTGTGCCTTAAGATATAATTTCTATCCAAGTTCACAACTAGTCCTCTCTAGATATCAATTCTTAGTTTCTTCAGATAATTTATGCTACAAATTATACTTTATTCTTTTCTAAAGATATCTATATTATTTATTTTTATTATTTAATTTATTTTTTCTTATTTATGGCTATATAAAGTATATAAAAGCTTGTTTATAATGAAACATCATTAATACTTATTAATTTTAATACCTCCTTGATTATTATCTATACTTCTAAGATAATTTTATTCAATATTTTTGATTAATTTTTTTTATAATTTTATATTTTATTTATTTTTATTTAATAAAAATATTAGAATACAACTTTGTATTATAGATGTTTTGTATTGTAGGACTTCTTCTTATATCCTAGCCAAAGATGCTCTTGCCTCCAATTCCTAGTTAGAAATAATTATAGACCTTCCAAAAATATTACCTTTTATCAAAATATAAGCCACTATTAATAATCTCTACTTTAATTGTATTTTTTTTATTCAACTAAGTTAATAAAGATAGATTCTCTAATATTCTACTACATTAATTAAGTCCAAACTAAATTTAAACTTTTCAACAAGTATAGATTTTGAAAGGATATTTTCTATGTTTTTTTAGATACAAATCTTTTATAATAAAATATCATTATCAATAAAAATTTCTTTGATGTAATAATATCTTATATTTATAAGCTTTGTCCTAATAAAGAATTTTTTATTCTTTATTAGATGAATTCCAATATAACTATCACAAAATGCTAGAGTGTACTAATGCACTAATCCAAGCTTATCAACAAATTTCTTCAATTATATAGCCTTCTTTGTAGCTTCTACACCAACTATGTAGTCTACTTTTATTATCAATTGAACTATTTTCAAGATTTCATGCATAATCAAAATCCACAAATCCTACAATCTTTTTACTTTCTTTTTTTACTTCTATTGTAGACAATGCTTACATGCATTGTTTCTTTCACGTATTAGAGTATCCACTTCACAACTTTCTAATATTCTTTTCTAAGATTTTTTATGAACCTACTTATTATACTGACAATATATAAAATATCTAGTCTTATATAAACTATTGTATACATTAAGATTCTAATAATACTTAAATATGATATTAAATCCATGATAATTTATTTATTTATTTATTTTATCAGAAAAAGAATTGTAAATAACTTAAAATGAGTATCTAGTAGAATACTTATAAATTTTCTAATCTCTATTTTGAACTTAAAAGAACTCTCTTAATATAGTCCTTTTGATATAAAATTAATTTTCTTTCTTGTCAATCTTTGACAATCTCTTCATACAAGATTTTTTTTAATAAGACTAAAATTCTTTGTTTTAAACTCTTTACTAAGTTGAGCTTTTATCTTACAATTTTTTTCAACTTCTTTGCTATAATCAATATACAAAGATGATTTTCTATTTTTAGAATAATAAATTCTTTTGCATATTGTATTTAAATATCTTCATCTAACTCATCATGCAAGAATATAGTAGTAACATTAAATTGCTTCAATTCTAAGTCAAATATTTTTATTATAAATAATAAAATATAAATAGATAGAATCTTTATTATTAATAAAAATATTTTATTAAAACTAATTCTTTCTTTTTGAATATGTCTTTCTGCCACTAATCTAACTTTGTATCTCATTTTACTTGTTTTTGGAGTTTCTTCTTTCTTCTTATATACTTATTTGTAATTAATTTCTTTTGTTATCTTAAGATAGAGGCACCAACGACTATACTATGTATTTTGTGCAAAAACTTTATTTCTTTTGTCATTGCAATTTTTCATCTATAATATTCCTTATCTTTCATTGCTTGAAAGTTTGAAGGTTTACTATTCTCTATGATCAATGCAAATGCAATTATATTTACAAATCCATATTTTTCAAGGATTCTATAAATCTTCTTTGATTTATGAGATTGAGGTCTTTCTTTTGGCACTTTGTCAATATCAAATTCACCATCCAAATCTGAAGCTATTTCTTTATTAATAGAAGATTCAAAATCAGCTATTTTTACTTGAATAGTCTTTGGTGTATGTTCACTTACAACATTTTCCTTAATACT